AATAAATAAATAAATAAATAAATAAATAAATAAATAAATAAGAGAACAGGATCTAGTAACAACAACAACAAAAAAAAGATATTGATTCTCAACGTAGTTTGAAATGAAGGCTCTTACCTGATTGAAGCTCCAGAACTCCTGCTAGGTAGCTGTCCTCTTTACAAATGTAAGAGAGTAGAATTTGGCTTGCCTGGGGTCCTTTCCTGGTAACAGAATCACACAGGTTTCTTGCCTTGTCCGTAACAGTGGCTTTTACAAGTTTTATTCTCTCCATCTCTTCTTGGTTCAGGACTTTCTTCTCCAAGAGTTCATCCAGCAAGCCATTTATTGTCCCTTCACCCACTGAATTGACGAACTGCTTCCTCTTTGCTCTGAGGATGTTGTCTGTTTAAGGCACAAACATTTCTCAAGTCAAGAAAACAACCACATGTTCCTTTCCTGTTAAAAATGGCTTGGCCTAATTCAGAATTAAAAAGTAAAATGTCCCTTTCACATACATCTCTTACCCCTTTCTTTTTGCTATCTGTGCTCTCTATTTTCCCTCAACATTACACAAGAGCATAGGGGGAGACACAAGTAACAAGTTACTGTCTTTCGATTAGAACTCAAAAAGCATAAACCTCTTCCTGCTTCCACATGTTCTCAAATCAGATTAATAAAACAAAGAAAAGGTGATACAGCATTCTCCTTTGTAGCCTGTATCTCAGTCACTCATCTGGCTGTGCTGGTCAGACTAGGGTCATGCAATATTTAAGATTATACTATGACTGGAGAAACAAGTACACCAGCATTTCCTTCTGGCCCTGGCCTTCACTCTCTGTGGCTTTAAGAATCTTCTCTGCAGATTTCTTCCACACAGTCTTCCCCTTCCCAAGATTCAGCTCACTTAAAAATCCACAGGAGCTAATGACAGCTCACAGAAAAACTACCCCTTTTTCAAATGACTTATTCATAACTTATCCCCTTTACAAACAGGGACAACTCACCAGCCATGGCGTTTCTCTCCTAGCATGTGGAGCTACTGAAACTGAAAGCTCCTTTCCACCAGGGCGTGTATGCAGATTGCGAAATAACCACTCTTCCTGTGTGCTCCTGCGTCTTTCCCTCATTCTGGAACTCAGACTTGTCAAGGAGGAAACCTGGGAAATGATCTTTGCACAACACTTGGAACCGCTCCTGGCAGGAAAGGAGAATGTAGTAGTCTTTAACAAAACAGTGAGCTGGGACAAAGCAACAAATGGGGGAGGGAGGTTAGATCTGAGGCGTCCAAGGGGATGAGAAAAGAACAAGGGTGAAGGGAAGGCTCGCACAGGTGTTTCTGCTGCAGCTCAGTATGAGATTGGGAGATTAGAGCTCGGAAAACAGAGGGAAGACAAGACCTGAAAGCAGTTTACCTGAGAGGTCCAAGAGCTCTGAGGATTAGCAGGGGTGCCTGAAGAGTTGGGGCTGGAATGAAGTCAGGAGTGGAACAAGGGAGGTTGGGAGGGGAAGGTCTGTGGAGTCCATGGGAAATGTGGGAAGGGAAGTGGTACAGAGAAGGGAGGCTGCAACTGGAGTTCTCTTGCAGAGACAGGCCTGGGCTGCCGGGGACTGAATGTGGTGGGGAGGAGAGAGTGATGAACGTCTTCAGTGCACTTGTCTGTTTCCTGGCCTACTAAGCTGGTGTGTTCACAGGGAATGCCTACTGGTATTGGGGGCTGGGATAATAACATGAGTTTTAGAAAGGAAGCTTGGGGGAGAAGACCTCTGTGATTTGTTGCTGATGAGGACAGAGGACAAGTAGAAGTGTTCTTGTTCAGGGCTGGAGATGAGACAGGGGCTTGGATCAAGAAGCAAAGAGCAGGGCTTATGTTGTCATAAAAATCACAGCTCTCATCTTAAAAGTAAAAAGATATTTTATCCTGAAGCCATTATTTGGGCCTAGGAGCACAGGTATTTCTAGGTTCCCCGAATTCGAAGCTTCAACGTGGAAGCAGTTTCATGACGTTTTCTAGTTGTAGGGAACCAAGAAAGTCCTAAATCTAGGCAAGGTACAACACCTTTGTGAGTACAGCAGACACACTGAGATGGGGAAAGCTTTGCTCTAGTCCTAAAAATCTTCCCCAGTGATGACCTTAGCTCTGTGATGGTGAAATCTCATGATTTCCTGAGTTAATAGCTTCTAAGTGTTTTTTTTTTATTTATTTTTACTACATGTTAGTTCAGATACAGAGTGGGGCAAGGAATAGCTGTTCAGAAGACTAAAATTAGCACAAAATAAAGTTATTAGCCCTGATCCTACAAAATTCCAATCTTTCCACAGTATAGAAATTCCAATTGGTCCATCATTTTCTGAAGACTCAAAAGTGTGTTCTTGTAGTTTTTATTCACATCCAGACACAGCTGTTTTTGGTGGGTAATTTTCCTTTATACTTGCGATTAGATGATTTTAATTGGACTCTTGTATTTTTTCCGTAATGCACATATTTAAGGAATATGAGCTTCTATTAAAATCTTAAAGAGTAAGGAATGACACTAAACTACACTGCAGCTATATGACTGAAGCTTTGACTGAGACATACACACTTCTCAGTCACATTAGAAGCTAAAATGTAGTGAGTAACAGAGAAATCTAGAAAATGAACTTCACTGAGGACTTTTGTCCTAGAAACACATGGCAATATAGTAGTGAGGCATACAGAACCAGGTGGTATCTGGAAGGTTGTTAGACTGGAAGGCATACTTGGGGAAAAACATTAAACAATGTGCCACAGTTTGAATTAAGAGTTCATTGTTGTCCTGGCTTACTATGTCAACTTGACACAAGCTAGAATCATCACAGAGGATAGAAACTTATAAGAGAAAATGTGTCCATAGTGTTTGGTTATAGGAAAGCCTGTGGGGCTTTCCATATTAGTGATACATATGGAATGGGATCAGACTATGCTAATTGGAGTCCTCCCTTTTGATGGTCTTCTCTTCTATAAGAAAGCAGCCTGAGAAAATAATGAGGAGCAAGCATGTAAGCAGCATTCCTCTACAGTTTCTTCCTGGGTTCCTTCATCTGATTCTTGTCTTGTTTGAGTTTTTGCTCCCAGTTTTATCCTTGCTATTGAAAAAAAAAAAAAAAAAAAAAAACTTGCCAAAGATCAACTGAATGGGAAAGGGATTTATTTAGCATACACTTCACTTGTCAGTCCATTGAAAAGTTTCTGTACCCCTATAAGCTTCTCTGATAATGCAATAATCCAAATTAGAAAAAATNGTTTGTGAAAACAGAAGTTTTAGACACATAATGATTGTGGCATAGTTTTGTATAATGAAAAGTATTTTTTAAGACTATGGAAGGACCCAAAAGGCTGGAACTGAAAAAAAAAAAAAAACTGCACTATGCCATGGCTGGAATTTTCAAAAAGCCGGGGAGCTGGTTGCTATCCAGAGCCAAAATAGTGAAAACCCAAGAATCAGTGGCAGCACCCAAGGCCTATAAGTGAACATCTTCCGACAGTATAGGCTGGGTGGAAATCAGCATGAACACCCAGGACTCGTGGACGAGGACCGTGAGTGGGGTGTTATGGCCTAGCTGGATCTGGTCAGGTGACCCAGAAACCAGAGAGGCCAGGGCTGCTCTGAATGGCGGTTAAGACAAGAGAAGAAAAAAAAAAAGTAAAGAGAAGAAATGAAAAAATAGATAAAGAAACTGGGGAACCTGGGTCCTCAGTTGAATGCACTGTACAGGAAGTGTGCAGTGCTAACACGTGGGTGGACTGACCTGGGGGTCAGTCCAAACATGATTCTAGTAAAGGGGAACAACTGTAGCAGAACTGGGAAGACTCACAGATTGAAGCCAGGAAGCTAGTGGTGGGGGTGGAAAAAGAACCCCATTCAGGATCCTGACTCTGGCAAAGGAGTTTTGGACAGGAGCGCCTATCCAAGTCACACAGCACCAATTTTATGATTTATGTAAGATCCCCGGTGGGCCTACAGAGCAGGTGGTGGTGACCAGTTCCGAGCAGCAGGGGCTGGGCTGGTGGGTCCTGAGTACTGCCAGCCCCGGGCTGGTCCCAGCGAGCCTGGGGGGTATGAGCAGACAGCAGGTTGAAGGCACATGGGCAGACACATCATACAGAATAGAATTGGATATTTATTACTTAGAGGAGATCGGAAGAAAGAGAAGGAGAAAGACAGAGAAGGGCCCGAGAGAGATACATGTGCATGCACCAAGAGGGGACAGTGAGAATCTAAGATGGCGGGAGAAGGGCAGAGGTCCCTGGGAGTGGGCGTGGCTTAAGAGATGAAAACCATAACATTCTCCACATCCATATATAGTTTCTTTTTGGGAATTTTCCCTTATACTTACAACTAGATGATTTCCTTCTTGGCTTCTTGTGTTTCTTTTTTTGTTTGTTTTTGTGTTTTATTTTTTTCTCTGATGTACATAGTCAAGGAATATATGCTTCTTTTAAAATCTTTAAAGGAGAAAGGAATGACTTTCAGTTAAGCTTATTGCTTCCCTATTATCAACCATAACTGCAACCATATGACAGAAGCTTTAACAGAGACATACGTACTTCCCATTCACATTAGAAACTACACTATAGTGAGGAAGAGAGAAATCTGGAAAATGAACTTCATTGAGCTCTTTTGTGGGGGAAACAATGGAAATTTAGAATGTAGGCATCCGGAATCAAGTGGTAACTAGAAAGTTGGTGCATACTTGAGAAAATAAACAAACAATGTGCCATAGCTTGGATTTTGACTTGGGCTGTTGTATTGCCTAGTTTTGTGTCAACTTGACAAAAGCTAGAATCATTAGAGATGATAAAACTTTAATTGAAAAAAAAAAAGTCTCCATATGTTTTTGCTGTAGAAAAGTCTGTGGGGTCTTTTCTTTATTAGTGCTCATTATGGGATGACTCAGCCATTTGTGAGTGGTGTCATCCCTGGGCTGATGGTCCTGGTTTCAATGAGAAATAATTTAAACAGGCCATGAGGTAAAAGCCAGTAAGCAGTATTCCCCCATTACTTCTTCATCAGCTTCTGCATCCACATTCCAATCCAGTTTGAATTTTTGTTCTCTATTCCCTCAGTGATAGATTGGTACCTGGAAGTATAAGCTTAAAAAAAAAGCTGTATCTCCCCAAGTTGTTTGGTCATGGTGTTTGATCTTATCAATAAAACCCTAAGACAGGTGTCAGCAGAGAAAGAGACATTCTACATTAATTAAAAACATGTATATATAATTTTGCATACATAGTGTTTCCCTTGGTAAAATTGGTAAAATGTAGAAGAAAAAGATTTGGCGCATGATGATCAGTTTAGCTTTGGGCATATCCATATTAATGTAATTTAAAATACAGGGCTCAACTAAGAGAAGCTTACAAAGCCACAAAAGTGCTTTACATTTGAGAAATTGTTGAAAGGTGATACAACCTGCAGATGATAACACTCAACATAATAATTCAGTGAATAGTTCAGAGAATTTTTTCTTTATCTTCTGCTTTCAATTGTTGTTGTTATTGATTGACACGGTCACATTACGCATCTCTAGTTGGCCTGGAACTCACATGCAGAGCACACTAGTAGCAAACCAACAGAGATCTGTCTGCCTCTGCCTTCTAAACAGAATATTAAGATTAAGTTGCATATTACCATACCCAACTCAGAGAATATTTCTGAGTAGGCTTTAGAAATGGAACATCAATCTCAGGCTCACTAGCTGGTCAGAAGGCAAGCTGTTTGTGGGCAGGCTACTTCATCCCCACATAAGATCCTGTAAATTACAAGTCACATTTCCTCCCTAAGCCAACCCATCCCCTGTGACCTCAGTGGCTCACTGAGACATAGACACAACCTGTACTGATTAGACCAAGAGTGTACGACCTTCCAGCTGGTCAGACCAGCCTCTAGGTCCTAAGCCCTGGGCAAACACTGTGCCCTTCCCCTGCCTATCACAACCACACTATCTTGTCAGCAGACAAGGGTCCTGTGGGTAGGTTGTTCCTCTACCACCCCTATATGACCCTATACTCTATGAACGCCACTCTGTCCCCCAAACCTACCCATTCCCATGACCTCAGCAGCTCCCTTATACACAGACACCCCTGCACTGATTGGACCAAGAGGCACAG